ATACAAATTAACATGGGCAAGATCGAATCCCGGTTAGGGCAGTTGGGACCTTCCAGTGGACTCACCACCCACAGGAAGGTTCAGGGAGGTTGGTACGGTGCAGTGTGATTTGGGGGAAGTCATAGAGACTGCTGCCCCCGCGACCCGGAAACAGATAAGCGGATGAAAATGGATGGAGTTGGCGATGAAATCCTTCATTTTCCATGGAACACACAGAAAGCAGGACAAGTGACTAAGAAGTTACACAAAATATGCAAAGAAACACAGAAGTAACTGCAGGAAGCAATGCATGTATTCCATAGTGGCTTAGTTTGTGTGTGACACAAGACTTGCACAAAAACGTGGGCAACTTTACAAAACAGAGTAACAAATTGAGAAACATTTTTCAATCACTGTGAATACAGATGTTTAGGTTGTGCATAACCACAAGTATGCTCTGTAATCAGTGCGCAAATATAGAATATTGCCATTGCAAAATACCATCTATATCCTTCATCCCATTATCAGGTGTGATCGGAACATTTTTCATATACCATCCCTATCCTTCATCCCATTATCAGGTGTGATGTATAAGATTATGAAATCGACTGCAAATGACAAACAAAGAAATAAGACCCATCAGCAACAGAAAGAAGAAGCGGTCTATGTAGTAATCCATGTTGCTTAAGCTAAGTATAGAAACTCTCCGATGTTAGCTGCAGCTGCTCAACATTAACTAGACTTATGAACACGTTTTAACATGACCATGAATCAAGTGTTGTTGTTTTTTGATTGTCATTGTCTATGTAGCAATGGAGCAATACTGGTAAAACCTGAGAAGCCATTGCTGGTCTTAACAAATAATGGGCAGCTGATGAAAGATATAGGATGCACTACCTGTCTCTACTGTATATGCTGAGCTGATGATAAAATATTCAGTATAACAACAAGACAAGCTACAAGGTTGCTTAATTAAATAATAATATATTTACCAGTCCATTACGCCTCGTCAAGCTGCATTTTTGGTCCACACCCAAAGCTAAGTTCAGTATTACCCCACGCTAGGGTCAACTCAGTGCTCTGCTGTATACGGTTACATTTTTGGTAGAATTTGTTTGGCTAGTAAAAACATGAAATCTACATTATTACCTTTCCTAGCAATGCCTAGGACAGGCATGGGCAAAGTATGGCCAGGGGGCCAGCTAAGGCCCTTTTGGCATTTTAATACAGCAAATGTTTCCAAAATATGTAATCAATTTATATTATTATAATACTTCCGCCTTTTCCCCACAATACCCACATTTCCACAATAGATGCCATAGGCTAAAAGCATTTCCGCATTTTTGCCTAACTTGTCATTTATCTTAGTTCACATGAACAGTCCATCTATCTACTCCTGACCTGGCCCGCCTGTCAAATTTCAGGACCCATTGTGGCCCACGAGTCAACAGGTTTGCTCATATAAAACAAGTACAAAAATGTATACATTTTCCAAAATTATGCATTTGTAAGGATTGGCACAGAACCCAAAAAAGGAAAATCCTATAACAATTCACAGGTGGAAATGATGTGCACTGGATTCCCTGTTTCATCTGAAACTGTTTTTGTAGGACTAAAGTGTAACTCTACATGTACTCTTCAGGGCTTTAACAGGTTAGGCCCAGAACCAATTATCTGTGTTTTTTAGCTCAAAATACTGGTTAAACAACTAATTATTTGGAACAAGGTAATTACAAAACTAAAAACAGCTGATCGTTTAACCCAAATGCAGTGTGTACATGCCTCTGGCGTTCACACAGTTTTGATGCCGGGTTGAACTCTGACCTTCTACTATTAAAACCTAGTTGCCAAACCAGTCAGGTGAGGAAAACTGTTTTGCCACTGCTACCTAACTGAGAACTAAGTACGTCCTACAACATGGCTTTACCACACCTTAGTTACTACAGCAGAAAGACAACGAGTCAGCGAGAGAGAGAGAAAGAGAGAGAGAGACTTTCAGTTGACCGTGAAACTGTACTTCAGGACCGCTAGTCCCCGAAGTCGTACCCCTGATGTAAGCCGCTGCTTCGAGGCACTATTCATCCAAATTCACACACCAAGCCCACTGTACACAAACACACAGACATACATAGACACAGAAAGCTCACAGTTTCGAGAGCCGTTAACGTCTTGTCACGAAACGGTGACATGAACTCACCTCTTCCGTCTGTACGTTCGCTGACTTTTCACCGGCGTTTGCTGCCTTTTCCGGAAAGTTCTATTTTCAAACAGGCTCTGTTTAAAAGACGGGTTTAAGTCTGCTTCTGTTTTACTACAACTCCTGGTGCTGACTCTTTCAACCCACACTGCTCACAGTGAGTGTGTGACGCTGCTGCTCTTTGCTGCTGCTCTGTGGTGACAGCGGGCGCTGGTGCAGCGAGTAGTGACTGCGTGACGTCACCCAGGTGACTTCCCCCAACGCACGCACACGCTCTCGACAACAGGTGGACTACAACATCACATGTTTAGCTGGCTAAACTGGACCAACAGCAGTGGAAACCTGACATTATACACGCCTGTTAAAGCTGGTCTCTTACCAGTCACTGTGTTGTATTAAAAGCAATGTAGCAGTGACTGAAAAACAAAACAAGGAAGTGAAGGACGGCCATGAACTTGGTTAATGTTCTCCAGCATAATATTAACCCCGCGGCAAGAAAAACACACCTGGCAGGAGAACCAATGAATCCTGAAAACCAAAAATAACCTTTTGGTCTGGCGTTAACCTCTTAATACCATTACACTATTGTTGAGGTTACAGCGTTAAGTACACACAAATCCGCGTTCAAACTTTGTGCTTAGTCATCAAAAAACGCGCACACTAAGTGCGCTCTATTTCTTCATTTTAATAGGAAGCAGTAAGTGTCATCAAATAAAAAAAAAAGATTTGTTTGCCAAAAGACAACATAAGGGTGACGTGACATGGGGTGATCAGGACTGAATGTTAACAAAGATACCGAGTAATTCTGGCATTGGTCATCACTGATGACAGATATTTGCAGGTCAGCATGATTTCTTTCTTTCTTTCTTTCTTTCTTTCTTTCTTTCTTTCTTTCTTTCTTTCTTTCTTTCTTTCTAAACAAAAGTTGAATTGTTATCTAGCCCTGGTCTTCCTCACTGATGAGTAACCTCACCGGCTGCTGTTTTCAAGAGGAACTTAATACAATAGGGAAGCAAAACTTCCACATTAACACCCGCATGTGACACTCCCCACTCTTTTGCAGGAGAAATGTTGGGTCAGAGGGTTGAAGATTTCATTTCTTGTTAGTGCTTTAAGACGTGTGTTGGTAAGAAAAATTCCAACCTGTGGATTTACTGGTTTGAAGGCTGAACGCTCACGTGTTTACTGTTTTTTGGAACAGACAACCTTGACTGAGAAATATGCACCGCCACCCTCTGAAGAGATGGAAACAACAGGGCTGAAAAGATTGAAACACTCGTGTAAAAGCACGAGTGATGGACTCTTAAATGTCATCTTTTAACAAGGCAGTTTTCTCCATATGGGAACATGTTCAAAATATAGATATTTGTCTTCAAGTTAAACCTGTCTCCAATATTCTATGCTTTAATTGTTTTAAATGTATTAACCCTAAAAATATATAGTGCACAATATGAATTGTAAACAACAAAAATAGTATTACAATTACATCTGATATTATTTAAATAATATAAGTAATTTTTAAAAATAAAACAGTTTAAAATAGACAGACCTGATTCAGCATTATGCAAAACAGAAACAAAATAAAGGCAAATAAAATAAGGCAGAGGGCAGATTGTGTCATCACTTCTACAATCAGTATTCCTTCCTGGAAGATGAGGATATTTATGGTTTGACAAAGTGGCAACCACAGTGTAAGTTTCGTTAAGAACAGAAAAATAGTGCAAATGTTTTCATTTGTGGTTTTTGAATGTGATTTGTATCTTGGCAAATGAACCTCAGGCATTTCCTGACGATTTTCTTGCCCATTAACAGCATCAGGACAAGATTTGAGAGTAAGGAATGACGAGAGAGGAAGAGATGGTAAAAAAGAAGGGATGAAAATAACAAAATAACAAAATGAGAGAAGTTGTCTTTTCATCAAGAGATGAAGTTAAATTTGTCATGATCACTGTGTTCAAATCCCGTTCTCCCATGACATACTTCCTCCACTTAGTTATTCACTGTATCTATGCCTGAGAGGCATCGTTTTCCTTCCTGCCACTGATTTTCCTTAAAGTCTGAGATAACGACAAGTCCATGTTTATACAATTTTGGTTGGTGCAGAGAGCACCAAAGAAAGAAAAACAAAGATTGCGATAAAAACGATGATGATATCCTTATGAAATAGTACTGTTTTTAGTTGACAGGTGCCCGTCTCCCCATGACAAGATGTCTCTTAGGTGGCTGTCCAGCTGCCTGTTAAAAAATTGACTGTTATTAGTAGTTGTTTATCACAGACCTTGTATTTAGGGGTTATGTATTGAAACACAACTTTTGTTAATTTTTCTGATTTTAGATAGTCTCGTGGATTGGGTTTTACCAACTGGTATATTTTAATTCAATCTATAAAAATACAATAAAAGGTAGATTGCTTCTTTCTGTAAGTTGGTCGTTTTGTGGACTTAAATTCTAAAATTATATTTCTTTCTCTGGCTCTCTTTTGCTCTCGCTCTCATATTGGGTCAGTAACACTCCTGGGATCGTGTATCTGGAACAACCCCTGTCTTTTCTTCCCCTACCTAATTTCTTTTTCATTTGCTATTGCTTCATTTCTACTCTAATTAGGTATAATGGTATAGTCTTGATGTGTTTATGAAGTCATGCAGAGTCATGCAGAGTACTCAAGCCTTTTAAAGATGATTAATGATCACACCAATCACCATTTTTGAAAGAGAAAAGTTGTAACTACATGATTTGTGCTCACAGTGCAGATGTTGAGTGCAACATATAACTCGACATAAAGCCTAATTTGTTTTTTTCTTTTTCTAATAATCTTAGGGGGCTGATATTTCCAGGGATGTTTTTTTAATATTTGATAAAAAATATTTGTATTCATCAAATACCTTTCCAGTATAAATTACCAACTGTAAAAAAATGAACAAGCAATGAGGGTCGTTTTTGTTCGTGAGATTTTATTTTAAAAAGATCCACTGCTGCCACCTCCAGGCAGTTCTAGAGATGTAGCATCTTCAGTGCAACGTTTTATTCTTACAACATGGAATTATGAAACACTTCCCACAAACTGCACTCACTCATAGGTTCTCTCTTCAATTCAACACACATATTAAAATCAAAATAAAGTGTCTGGTGACTGAAATGAAACACTGACTGGAAATTAAAATTTTCTCAACTATATCCTCGCACAAAAAATGAAACACTGACTGGAAATTTTCTCAACTATATCCTCGCACAATAGGTCTTTATACTGCATACACACACACACACACACACACACACACACACACACACATACACATATATATGCAGTCTGTATTATGTTTGTACTGACTTAAGGACAAATCATTATCTTATTTGGTATAATATACATACTTATAATATAATACACTATGCTAGTATATGATATGTGGCCTGTATGTACTTCAGCACTTCCTTAAATGGCATATTTATGGTGATATTCATCTTCTTTCTCTCTCATCGATCATGTCTTTGTTGATGCAGTAGACATATCGGTAACATTGACAAGCACACAGAGCAAAGTTGTTTTTGATTGGAGATATTCATCTTCTTTCGCTCTCATCGATCATGTCTTTGTTGATGCTGACATCTGTCTGTTGGTAGGAATGGATCATAGTTGTCGACACCTGATAGGTGCAAGTTATTTCATTATTTCAGTTCGTTTCCCAGCAACCTATACCAGTGCAGTAATAATTTTGATTAATTGCATCACGTGTTAGCTGTTCTATTGTTCATTTAGTTTGTGACCTGTAACAACAAGGCTTGTTTACTGAAACACAAACAGTAAACATTTCAAATGTGTTTATTATTTATATGTATCTATGTACACAAACATTTACAATGCACTTACAATGCAAGAGGTACATTCCATAATAATAATAATAAGAATTAGAATAATCAATATGACCCTTAAGAAATGAGTAGAAAAGCTAAACAGTACTTGTGTGCTTTACAAATAGTGTGTTTGAAAGGTGGGAAGGGTCTCACGTTATAAGATGGTACAATTTTATTAGTAAATAAAAAAAAAGGCATAGGCATTGATTCTTAGCTAATGAAGGCAAGAAAAGTACTGAAGAAGCAGCAGCAGTGAGAATTTCAGTGTTATAGGTAGTTTGAGGGTTGAAACTCACTGTGTTCTTTAAATGATGTCAACTAGGTTAAAGGGAAAGTCCAGTGTTTTTGAACTATGGTCGTTTTCAGTGACCAATGACCGCCACATTATCTGTGCTGAAGCCAGGAACCAGCCTAAATCATAGAAGGCCGACAACAATCACACTTAAGTTTCTGCTATAACACGATAAGAAGGATAACCAGACTCCATTAAGTAAATATGTAATTATGTGTACATATATACTCAAAAAATGGAAAAAGGAATACATAAAGATGCTGTAAAAAAACAAAAAAACAAATGGGTAACAGTTAGCAATTACTTTATGTAAATAATTATATATAATAATTATATATAATAATTATATTGTTTGTGTGTTTTGTCACTGCTGGTAGTGTTCAAGGCCTAGGATCATTCCAGACTCTGTCAAAACTTCCTGTTACCACACTTCCAAAAATCTGAATTATCCTTTACGATTGCAACTACATGCGGGTGTCCATTTACATGAAAAATGTCATTTCTAAAAATTGTATATTCTTCTCTCCAGATAATAACTAGATGTTAATGTGTATAACAGTAGATGAGTTAAAAAACCTAAAACAAAACAACAAAACAACAAATATTATAATTGTCTCTGGTTAGGACGTAAGAGGAGCACAGTACTGTGATAACATGAAGAATTGAGAAGAACAGTTTCATTTCAGGCACATTCTTCATTCATCTGCTACAGATTCCATGGCATCAAAACGGATGACCTCATCCTCAGCGTGTTAGGAAGGCGTGGCAAATTATGAAGAAAGGTTTTACTGAACACAAGGCATCATTTCATTCCAAAGCTGTGCAGATTTAATACAAGCACAAGAACAAAAATCAAAACAGAAGCACAACATGATGGTTAAAAATGTCTGCTCACTTGTGTATCGCCGTCCCTTTACACAAACTCGTATATATATAACTTACGTCAGCAGCTGTTTCTGCAGTGCATACCTCACCGTACTGTGTATATATTCCTGAAAAACTGGAATCTCTCAACACCATTTCATGAACGGTATGTGGAAACTTCAGTGGAGTTCTTTAATCCTCCATGGGAGTTTCATAATGTGTCTGTCTGTCTGTAAGCACCATAACTCAGAAACTGTTGATTAGGTCTCCTGTGAATGAAGGGAATGGCCTAAGGTAGAGTGGACTCAGAGTGCTTGTTAATCCAGTAGCAGTTTGAGGATTTTTAATGGACTCATTTGAGTGCTTTATTTAAAGTGTAACTCTGAGGTTTCATCTAGAAGAATAAAAAAAAGGTGGCTTCACATGAAGATATACAGTAGTCAAGAACTAAGAGGAGGCCAACTGGTGTCCATCTTCCCAAAGATGCAACTTGTGATTATGATGTCACAACAATCAATGGCGTGAGTTCAGATGCAGCAGGTAGCTTTGTTATGCTCCACGCAGGAGTTTCAGCAGTCACAGACAGCAGGGGGTGCTATAAAACTGTGGCCTCCTCAATGGCATTCACCCACCTGAAGAACAAAACAACAGAATGAGGTTGATCGACTCTCTCAATGTCAGATCAGATGTGTCAATGATAAAAAAAAACAAAATATTTTTTTCAGATTTTCCAAATTTTCACTTGAC